ACATTAACCATATGAACGGAAGAATTTTCCTGACATCCCTGGTTCTATACCACTACTACCAGTACTAATTAAAACATAGCTTTCTNTTTGACCCAGGACAACCTTAGCAGAAGGAATTTTCAGTTGGCAAATAGGTGCTACATGTGCAAGCTCAACTCTGAGTCGGTTAATCACTTGTTTCTACACTGTGCTGTGGCATCAGACCTTTGGAACATGTTCTTAGCACTTTTTGGCTTTCAACTGGGCAGTGCCACAGAACATGAGGGATGCAGTTCTTAGCTGGAGCCTATGGGAAGTTGATAGATCCATCAAAAAGATCTGGCAAATGATCCCATTCTGTATTTTTTGGTGTCTATGGACAGAGAGGAATCGTAGATGTTTTGATGGCATTTCAACTTCCAACGGACACTTGAAGTCTAAATGTCTAATTAATCTTTTTAGTTGGAGTAATCTCTCCCCTGTAAATGATATCATCCCCCTCTTAGACTTCATTAGCTCTCTCTCAATGGTTTAGTAACCACTGATTTTTGCCCTCGGTTAACTTAGGTTCTAGAATAGTTTTTTTGTCCTAACGAGTTAACCAAGCTCTCTATTGTAATCTCTTGCATCTTATTGATGCCTTTAATACAATACATTACTTCATCAAAAAAAAAAAAGAAAAAAACTTTCTACAGCATCAAGTGATTAGATGTGGTATGATTAACTTACTTATCACTGCCATTAGCACTTTCTTTAGTATTTCATGACTAATCTCTTATTGTTTATTAGCATTAATTTGGCAATAGATTTATTTGCTAATATGATGACCAATCACAGTTTAGTAAACAGGATTATTAGTTCAAGTGACAAAAGCTACTTATTGGGACTACTGTGCATGGTACCGGAGGAACTCATTATAATCATATAGGATATTGATTATTGAAGCATGAAAAGGTCATCGTAATAATATATTCGCCAAAGACATACAATATCTCACCGTGAAATTCAGAAAATTTGTGGGCTAAAGTCAAAAGTATGGATTGAGCCTCAAAGTATCACAAAATTAGTGTAGAAGTAATCAGAACGGTAACTAAAGGTAGCCGAAAAATAACTAGTAATTGCAAAATAAATACTGAGAATCACAGGTTAAGTTGCAAGTGATAGTGGACCTTTTAGAGTACCAGAAAAGTGAACTGAAAATGGCTAGAAAATTGTGGATGGCGATATTTTCTTTTTTTAACTATGGAGATTGCATAAACTTCTCACAAGAAATCTTATACCATGTGAGAAATAAAATAACAGATTGAATAGTGTGTCAAGAGTAGTATGCAGATACTTTTCCTCAGGCAGTCATCTCAAAAGAGGACAAAAAGAAAAGAAGAAAAACATTGGACAGTAGTGTATCCTTGTTTGTGTTCTTTGTAGTTTTTATTTTCTTATCACAATCAAAATGTTTTGAGATTCCTTCTTGTCTGCTCTTCCTAAGTGGTCAAAAAATAGTGGTGATGCCAGATAAATGGTCATTACAAATTACTCCATTTTCACCTTAAAGGTAACAATGTTCTTAGAGCTCTCCAACTGTTCCTAGAAAGTACACAACCAATGTCAGGATTTTATGAAGGTACATCCTCTCTTTTGGGCTTTCATTTGAGTGGTGTGCAAAATACAGGACCTGAATCTGATTCATTCCACATCAAATTAGTATGCTCAGATCAAAATCCAGGTCAATGTAATTGGACTCTGAAGACTCGATTCTAACCATAAAGTCAAAGATTGAGGTCTTAACACCAGGTAAGCCTTTATATCCTCTCAGTATGGAATAAGCCTATCATATTTTTAAGCTTCAGCAGAAATACAAGCAGAGGGACAGTTTCTTGTCTTGGACAAGTAATTAAGGTGCATTGCATGCAGTACTTGCCTTTTGAATCAACTGTTAATTCTTCAAATTGCATTGTCTCGTCCAATTTCAAGTCCACGTATTTCAAACTAAGACTTCAGTTTTACAAAAACCACAGATCTGCTAGTTTCATATGCATTTCAAAGATGTCAAGATAAAACACCTTTCCTTGACTATCTACAAGTCAGGAGTCTAAAATGATTCTAGTATGTCTATTATATGAGCCACACAACAGTAGATCCAAAAAACCAAATACTCGCATTCTGCAGTTTTGCTATTATGCAATTTCTTTAAGTTATCGATTCTCACTTTTGCTATTCATTGAAGTAATTCCACTTTAAGATGGTATTCATTCTAATTACAATATGTGAATCAGATAATATTTACATAGTCCAAGTCTGCAACTTATTTTCTACTAAGGTTCTCAAAATCACTGAACAACCGCTTTAGGTAACACATCAACCAATGATGAACACAAGACAACTATAGTAGAGGTCCAAATCAGCTAATAAAACCAAAGCTTCAATGTCAACATGTCAGATTCTGCTACAATGTATACTCCAACGGATTTTCAACAATATAAGGTTTCACTCTCATATTCAAGCTAATGAAAACAGAGAAAAGATATAAACAAAATAGTACAGTATAAAGAAACAAACTTTATAATATTAATCATGAGAAATTCAACAAAAATGAAAAAAGAGGCACAAAATAAACAATACCATTTTTCTCTACACATTCATCGTGAATCTTACAGCAGGCGTCTAGATCATCACAAGGTTTCTCCCCTGGACATCCACTCCATCCTACTCCACAGTATTTCCCGTATCTAATTCCAATTGCTATTGAAAAAAAATAACCAAAGAAAAAGTGAATTAGCTCTTATGCATATAAAAAGAAGGAATATAAACGAGAAAAAAGCTGAAAGAGACGTACAGTTACAGTTCTCTGCCACACACGTTTTGCTACATCGAACCTGTCATTATAGCAATAAAAAATAAAATAATCAGTTGCCCAGAAAAATGAGTTGGTTAATGAACAAATCAAAATGCATTGAAGTAATGAATCGAAAAGGATAAAGTAATTTACTCCTTGAGAATTGTTGGTGGATTCAGCAATGGCAAAGAGGAAAAAGGAGAAGACTAATGTCGTACGGATGATTGATGAGGTGAGAGAATTGTCGCCTCCCTGCATTCTACTTTTGTATCTTCTAATTATTATGTAATTTTCTGGACTTACATGCTCCTTTCGTCCTCTTTGTGTTCTTGTCTTCTCCTTTGCGGAAAAAGCGCAGAGCTATATTCGCACTTCGGAGCCTGTTGACGTAGCAGGCTTTCTCTCATTGGTGGATACAAGACTTGTGGGACCAGAACGTAAGGACCAATTGATTCAATTTCCCACTCTTAAATTGGTGTAGAAAATAAAACTCTTTAATTAATGAGTTGAATGCATTTTGATTGAAAAATTCGACAGACTCAATCAGATTTTTAAAAATATTTTTTATTTTATTATATTAGTATGAAACAAACTGGGTCAGTATATTAGTCTGAGCTTGAATCTCAGTTTTGGGATGATTTGGTGAAGTTTTGAAGTGGTTTGAATTGAAAATTCGAAGTAAAAAACTGAACATAAAAAAAAATGATATGTGTATCATACTGTGTATCATTTATGTATCACTTATGTATCATATTAGTATCAATTGTGTATCACATGTATATCAATGCATACTTGTGTGTGAGATACATGCGTGATAAATGTTTGATACATGTGTCGCAGAAGAATTTTTTGAACGCGATTTAGTTACGAATATTGATACAAAACCAGTCCAAATCACCTCCAATCTTTCTCAAATTTAGTATATTGATTTATCTATATGTTTTCAATTAATTTCAACTATACCCATTGAAAAAGTTCCTTTTTGCTTAGATTTTTTTATTTATTTTTTTATTTATTTTTGTATTTCATCACCTTATTTGCTACCTCATCCATGAAATTTCCTTTCCGTCTTGTATCTAATGTTCCTAATCACGCTTAAAAATATGGAAAGAGATTTTTGCATGTGATTCTTTGAGAGAAAGAACCTTATTTATTTGGTTTCTCAATTTTTATATGTGCTTGGCTAGTTTTGGTAAGTCTATAACTAATGGCTAGAGGCTGGTAAGTTGAGACTTATTTGGGACATTTGTATAAGTTTCCCTAAATAGTTCGGCAAGCCATTTTACTCTGATCTCTTCGAGATACGCCAAAACACCTCTATGAGAATATCATCTGGACCGCATGCTTTTCTAATCCTCATAATCGTTTCTATGAGAAAATTGGTCCCATTGTATATTACTCGTCTAACTAAGGTAAATTAGTGAAACCTATATACATTATTGGAAACTTAACAACAATAACAACCCAGTATAATCTCACTTGTGGGGTATGGGGAGAATAATGATTTGTATATTATTGGAAACTTAAACGAATTGAAACGCTTCTAAACAGTATAGATTTGTATAAAAAGAACTTTTCTTGTCTGATATGTACGTATACTTGGTAAATATAGAAGCCTAGAAGGAAAAAGATTTTGAATATATTTTTTGTCAAATTGAGCTAAATTGAGAGAGCTAATTGATCATTTCTACACATGCAACCATGTATTTTGACATTGATTCAATTGTCAACCAAGTACAATAGAGTTACAGAGAAAGGGAAGAAGAAGAAGACGAGAGAGAGAACCTGAGATCAGAATGATCTAGAATCTCATTTCTAACTCACTAATTGATTCTGTTATTCTAACATATTCTTATACACCGACCTTTCTCCTCTCTTTTGTCTATTTGCATATTGCCCCCTTTCACTTACTACAATCCCTTGTTTAGTCCATATTATTGTAATATTCCCCCTCAAACTGGTAAGTAGAAGACATCTTCTACTCCTAGCTTGGGTAATAGGGACTGATGTTGTGCTGCACTCAAGCCTTTTGTCATCAGGTCCGCAAACTGCATTTTTGTAGGTATGTACTGAGTTGCAATTAATCCATTCATTGAGCTTCTCCCTGGAGAAGTGACAATCTATTTCAATATGTATAGTCCTCTCGTGAAATATAGGATTTGGAGCTATTTGCATAGCTGCCTTGCTATCACAATGCAACTTGACTGGTACTTCCACTTTGTTTCCCAATTCCTCCAACAGTCCAACCATCCAAACGACTTATGCCACCACACTTACTTCTATACTCTGCTTCTGCCGAGCTTTTACTAATTGTCTGTTGCTTCTTAGACTTCCATGACAACAGAGAATCCCCAAGCTTCACAACATACCCTGTCACAGATCTTCTTGTGTTGGGACATGCTGCCCAGTCTGAGTCACAAAAGGCTGTGAGTGTTGATGCCTGTCTTCTTCTAAGTAGTATCCCTAATCCAAGTGCTGATTTGATGTATTTTTTAACCCTCAAGGCTACATCTAGGTGAGACTTCTTGGGTTGCTGCATGAATTGGCTCAACACCTGTACTGCAAAACAGATGTTTGGTCTTGTGATTGTGAGGTAAATTAGCTTCCCAATAAGTCTTTGATAGGCTCCTACATCTTCAAGTTGAGGATCATCTGTTCTTCCAACATGACTGTCATAGTCAACTGTTGTTAGTTTCTGATTCAACTTGATTGGAGTTGCTACTGATTTGCAACCACTCATACCTGCATTAGTGATTAACTCCAATGCATATTTTCTCTGATTCAGCAACACTCATTTCTTTGATCTCATAACTTCAATTCCCAGAAAATATCTTAGTTCCTCTAGGTCTTTCACCTTAAAGGAATTATGCAGAGTGTCCTTCGTTTGTTCAATGAGGGCCTGCTTACTCCCAGTTATTAAAAGATCATCAACATAAACCAGGACTATCACAATGTCTTCTTCATGCCTCTTTGTAAACAAGGAATGATCATGGGTACTCTGAGTGTATCCATCTTGTAGGAGTGCATTTGTGAGTTTGATGTTTCATTGACTTGATGCCCGTTTCAATCTATGAAGGGATTTCAACAATCTACACACCTTGTACTCCTCCTGTTTGTGAAATACCTGAAGAAGATCCATGTAAACGTCTTCAAATAAATCACCTTGTAGGAAGGCACTGTTAACATGCACTTGAAACAAGGGCCAATCCTTGGAGGCTGCAACACTGATCACAGTCCTCACAGTGACCATTTTGGCCACTTAGAGAAAGTTTCATGATAATCTAATCCTTCTTGTTGTGTATAGCCCTTGGAAACCAGCCTTCCCTTGAACTTGTCCATTGGCTTTATGCTTGATTTTGTAAACCCATTTTGAATAAATGGGTTGTTTCCCAGCAGGGAGGTCTACTATCTCCCATGTATTATTTTCCTCTAGAGCTTGAATCTCTTATTGCATTGCAGTAACCCAATTCTGATCCTTAACAGCATCCTTGAAGGATTTTGGTTCAGTCTGAGCTGAGAATACTCCCAGGTAGGACTAATATGCCGGTGACAGATGATGATAGGCAAGGTGGGAAGATATTGGATATTTTGCAGCTACCTGATGATCTGGTATTGATTATATAATCCTTGTTCCAAGCAGGAGGAGCTGAATTCCTTTGAGGTCTAGCAGATCATGCAGGTTGAGCTAGTTGTGTCTCTGTGGCAGCAGAAAGTTCAGCTAGTTGAATCTCTGGTTTAGCTGGGACATTTGTAGGTGAAACCGCAGGAATTGTTGGCTAAAGCATTTCACCAACAACTTCTGTCTCCTCTTCAAATTGATGAACTTTTGGTTCAACATCACAAGGAGAGAGACTCTGAGCAATGAACCTATCCTCAGGATTATTGTCATGATCCTGCTAATCCTGTGCTGGTGCACAATGTATAAGGCTGCTGTTAGCAGGTCCTTGTTGTTGTGCTGGTGAAGGATAAATAGGTGGAGTGTCTGGTGATAGTAGTTGAGTGTGAGCTGGAAATTGAGTGAACATATCATCTTCAATGTTGCCTATGTCCTTGAATGGGAAGATGTGTTCCTGAAAGTAACATCTCTATTGACAAGGAAACTTTTATTATCCAAGTCATATAACTTGTACCATTTTTGAGTGTCAGAGTAGCCAAGAAACACTGTCTTCTTGGCTCAATTTGTCCCTTCTCGGCAAGTTGCTTGCATAACTCAAACATCCAAAGACCCTGAGATGCTAAATACTGGGTTGCTTCTTATACAATAGCTCATATGGAGCTTTTTCTTGTAATACTGGTGTAGGCAGTCTATTTATTAAACAAACTCATGTTCTAACACACTCTCCCCAAAATTTCATAGGGATACCATTCTGAAATTTTAAGGCTCTTACACATTTTTAAAATATCCATGTGCTTAATTTCTTTCCACTATGCCATTTTGTTGTGGAGTGTAAGCACAACTACTTTGATATATAATACCAAGTGAAGCTAGAAGTTCATTGCACTTAGAATTGAAAATTTTAGAACCATTATCAGATCTTAAAACCTTCACCGTAGCAGAAAATTGATTCTTTATTATGGAAAGAAAATTTTGCAACACAATTATCACTTCACAGTTGGAATGTATTAGACAAACCCAAGTGTATTAGACTGTTGTAGATATTCATTGGAAGATTGTTTTTCTTCCTTTTCACTAAGGAGATTACAGAGGAGAAGGAGAGAAAAAAGGTCCCTTTTCTAGGAAGGTCTCATCCCTATATATAGTCATGGAGTCATTGCTGTGTATTTAGGCCATAGCCCCCCTTACTTTGCGTCCGCTTTTGTCGTTCGGTGAATACGTGGTTTGGCGCAAATAGTGTCGTCTTTCCTTTTCCCACTGTTTGGACGTGGTCCCAATTGGGTCGGCCACAGCGGTCAGATTTTGACCAATACAGTAGTCCCTCCGTCTGCCGGGGTCGTCCCTTGTCGGGCCCGGTAGGCGGATAATGATTTCCGCTTGTCTAGGAGAAATCTGACTGTCTACCCCTTGGGTATGATTTTCAGAATCTAGCATATTGGCACCCTTTCGATATCTTTGAACCGTTGCGGCTGTTTTAGAACCGAGACATTGTTTGGATTGAAACGTTGTTTGTGGTTACCGCCATTATGACACACGTTCCCGAAAAATTGAAACGTTTCGTGCCCTATCAGATTCGATTGGCGCCTCTTGGGTTTCGTGATTTGGGGGATCTATGTCTCTTATAAATAGCAGGAACACATCAATCGATTGGCACACTTCCTTGTCCTTTACTTGAAAGAACTTCGCGAATATACTTTCTTCCTGATACTTTGAATTTTTATTTGTCCCCAGTTAACCGAAAACTTTTCATCCTCCCTTTTCTTTGTCTTTTTGCTTTACCAAATTGGCACAATGGCTAGTGATTCTTCTCGCGCTGATCTTCCCGCCACAATTTCGGTGCCGAAAGATAGTATTCCGGCCACTGGAGGGGTAGAAATGGCAGAAGATGAGGAAGTTTCGTCGGTGGCTGAGATCTTACCTCGCCCTGGGAAGGCATGGACTGATTTCCAAAGTCCCGCCGGAGAAGAACCGAACCTGCTCCCTCTGTCATAAATGAGGAGGGGATTGCAGACTTGAGGGCTAAGTGGGGAATTCCTCCCTATGTCGAAATACTGCCGACGGTAGGGGACGACATAGTCCATTTTGACCGCCTAGGATATTGTGCATTCTATGCCTACCCCTTTATTGTTGGGTACACGCTTCCTCTCCCTCTCTTGGTGGTAGATTTCTGCCGCTTTTATGAGGTATACCCGGCTCAACTTACGTCGTACCTGTACAAATTGTTCCTTATGCTGCTCAAATTTGCGGAGCTTGCCGGCCGTGAGATCACTTTGAGACACATGCTTAATATCTTCTCCACTCAACTCATTCGTGGCACGATGATTCATATGCGCCATGGAGGGTCGAAGAGCTTAGTGGTAAAGATGGATGACATAGCCAACCGTCGCTTCTACGAGAACTACTTTTATGTGCGGACCGAGTATCTCGTGGCGGATCCTACGGGATTCCCTGAGAAATGGAATTTCGCACATAAGTTCCTACTTTTGGTCGGAATGACACCCAACTGCATTTCCATTGAGTAGTACTAAAACTGTTTATGTTTTTTACAGCTGCGAAACTGCCTCCCACACCCGTTGATGGTATCCGCGAGTGGGTGAACGCCATCCTTTCTCACATGGTGGAGGTCCGCACATGGTCGTCCTTCTATGAGAGATACGGATGCAAGCCCCTTATTGGCGAGTAATATCATTTTCGTTTGCTGCTCCTCTTCCTTCCTCCTTTTTTTTGTTTCTTATATGTTGTTCGTCGATGCCAGGGAGAGTGGGGAGAGCGAGGGCTCCCCCATTAGCCTTTCGTCAACCTTCATCGTCTGCTCGCCCTATTTCAGCGTCTACTGTTCGACCTTCGTCGAGGGCTGCCTCAGTTGAATATACGGCCGCGGTTGTACGCACAACGGCTTCCTCTCGAGTCAGGACTCCACACCCTGTCATTTACCGAACGGAGGGATATTCCCATGCCGCGGAAGGGGAGGGGCCATCAAAGAGGCGGCGAGTGGAGACTAAAGTAGCTCCTACGACTGTGATAAATCTGGAGGAGGACCTACCCTTGATGGGGTCTGAGGTGGGAGTTGGTGCCATTCCACCTGTGAAGATAGAGTCAGCCGTTATATCTGCCCCACCGGCGGGGATCCCGGCCGCTATGATTGACCGGCAACCTGTCGCGACGAGCGGCCAGACCTCTGAGACCGCAGTTGCTGCTTTGGACGGGCCTTCATCTTCAGTGTCGGGTCGTGCTTCATCGTCGGTCGCAGAGAGGGGAAAGGGTGTCGTGGTCGATGACAACGAATCTGAATCTAAACTTGATACTGATGATGTTCGAATGTTTGAAGAGGGTCTTACCCGTTAGGTGGTTCATGCGGGAGGTCCATCCCGTATTCTTGAGATCTCGTCGGATATCAACCTCCTGCGGGATACGGAGGACTTGGTGCCGCATTTTGACATCTTGTGCTCTGCTGCTGAGAATGCGGCTCTTCGGGACGTTCCCGATATTGATTTGATGCATGAAGTGGCCGTTATGGGCTTGAGAGTACGTTACACTTTTTCATTCATATTTCTTTCATTTTTCTTGGTGATATGGTTTTAACCCATCTTCTCATTTTTCAGACGTACATGGTGGAAATAGGGAGTGTTCGCAGGGCTAACATTCGGGCAAAGATTTTTTGAAGATGTTGGAGAAGTATCCGCGCTATCGCAACAAGTGCCGTGAGATGCACGAGCGGCTGAAGGCGAACCCTGGTGATCGGTCCCTTGGCGAGGAGTTGGAGAAGATGGATCAGGAATTGATACAGACTATTCGTAGTAAGAGTGCACTCGAGGAGCAACTTCGTGCAAAGGACAGAGAGCTTGAGTTGGGCAAAGGGGTTGCTGCAGAGTGTGAATATCTTCAGGGGAAGCTGAGGTCGATGCAGTCTGAGATGGATCAGAATCTTATCAAGGTCGAGGCGATGAGTGTGGAGTGGATGGGAAAATTGGCCGAGTTGGAGAGGAAGGTTGCCGGATTGGAGAACATCGAGAGCGCCTGATCGGCGGCGGCGACCCTAGAGAATACTATCCGCGTCCTCTGATCCGAGCAAGAGTCGGAGAGGGCGACAAGCACGCTAATGGAAGCGAGTCTTGAGGAGCGTATTGGCGAAATCGACTGTGAGGCGTCGTCCTTAAGAGACCGGGTCGCTGCCCTTGAGGCCGAAAAGGAGCAACTGTTGGCTCAAATTGAATCTGCCTCCGCCGTTGTTCCCCATCATTTGCCGAGCTTTGGGTTCATGTTGAAGCCCAGCGGGACATATATAAGAACTTGTGGGAGTCGGGCAACGTTACCGAGGCTGCATATGAAGGAGCTCGGGCAAAGGCACGAGAGGCTCGTGTCAGCTGTGGATATGACTCTGCGACGCTGGAGGCCGATGAGGGCGCGGATGATGAGGGAGGACTTCATGGAGATGGTGGTGATGATGGTAGCGGCGATGACGCCGAGTGAAAGAATGTTATTTTTGTCTGTTTTCTGTCTTCTCTTTTTTTTATTCGTTGTTGATTGTCGTTGTTTCTCCCCCCTTTTTTTAGACTGTTGGTTCGGCCGTATGTAATCTGCGACTATTTGCGTAATGATTTTGTATAAAGATGAATTTTTCATTATTATATAGC